TGCTCTACGTCCTGACTGTAATAAAACCGCCATGTCTGACCGAACGATAGTAACTGCCCGCAATTTTTATTTTTTTTTGTAGTAGGGCAAGGCGTAAACAGCAACGTGCAAAGTCTCGAAAAACACGCCCTCCCCCTCCCCCCAACGTCAATGTTTAAAATCACTAAAAAATTCCAGTAGCAGTCGGTTCATTGGTCGGTGCTTTCTCATGGGCACCACTATATACTGCATCAGGCGGGCCCGTCGTCGATGCAAAGTGAGATGTGCGGTTCGCGTCTGTCACCCCCAGCCGCACGCGATCAAAAACGTCCACCACGACAATCAAAAACATCAACCAGGAAGTAGAATACCTCGCTCGCTCAGTGGTTAGAGCACCGGTTGGAAATGGATATTGTGAGGTTGCGGGTTGAAAACTCAATTGCAGCCTTGCGCATGGACACGGGCAGGGATAGAATGACACATGGGCACCACTGTATACTGCATCAGGCGGGGCCATCGTCGATGCAAAGTGAGATGTGCGGTTCGCGTCTGTCACCCCCAGCCGCACGCGATCTAAAACGTCAACCACGAAGTAGAATACCTCGCTTGCTCAGTGGTTAGAGCACCGGTTGGAAATGGATATTGTGAGGTTGCGGGTTGAAAACTCAATTGCAGCCTTGCGCATGGACACGGGCAGGGCTTTAGAATGACCCATGGCTGGACACACACACCCTTGGGCTGATGCACGGTAAGCTTATACAGACACTGCCTGAGCACCACCCAAGGGGTTGTCCATGGTGTTGTATGTGGGGTCTTGATACTGCATGGGTTGCTTGTGCCTGTTGCTCGTGGAGTGGTGGTTGTTCTGTTCATCTCCCCAGTCTGGTGTATCACACACAGGGGTGGTTTGCAATTGTCGCTCAAATGGTAGAGTCTTCAGGTCACATGTCATAGATCATGGGTTCGAGTCTGGCTTGGGACTTTGAGGGGGGTTCTTGTCCAGTTTAGCCTGTCATCTCTTCAAACGAACACGTAGTTCCCTCTACATAGTACTGCACATATCTGGCCTTCGGGCACACATATCTCGCTATACAGTTACACAGAGCACACATAGCCTTCGTTCGGGCAGACACAAAAAAACAGGGCCCTATGGGCTCATACAAACATACATAGCCTCTGCAAAGATAAAATAACAATGGAATTTCAAGAAGAAGAAGATGACATGAGTGTTACTATCATGGCGCTATCACCTTCCCCTCGGCATCTCCTTGATACAGAACACCATCAAGGATCTCAACCCTTCTACTCATACGCCACTCAGGCTGATGAAAACTTCCCTCACTACTCCTTAAATACTTATTCTACTATCAGGTTCACGGTGCGTTCGCAGCGCGACCGCCTCATACGTAAATATTCAAATAAATTAAAATTTGCCCAGGTCCTAGGTCAGTTGGTACCAGGCCCTGCAATTACTTCTGCAACAAAACGTATTTGACGAGACGGCGAGGTCTGAAACTTAAAACATCCTCAACTCTTCGTCCAGATTCAGATGCTACGTTAGTTGGCACTGGGCCCTGTAGCATACTTTCCTTACCACAATGAATTTGACGAAAGGGCGAGGACGGGTGCTGAAACCATCCTCAATCCTTCATCCAGGTTCCGGCCTCTCAGGTGGCAATACCCCTTTTTTTTGGGCAGATACTGCCAACACATTGAAACACGTAGTTCGCCGAGGCCAACTTTTCCGAATGTGCGGCCAAAGCTGTTGTCGTCCGCAGGAGATATCCCGGATTCGCCAGATACACTTCCTTCGGCCGTCTCGTACTACCTGGTTGTCGAAAGTGACATTCATCGCCGTACTCAAAATATCAGGATACCAGGCCGGCGGACGTTATCGGCCCTTCTGAGATCAGATCCACGCACTCGCCGTCGAATCTTAAAAAACGTGCTTTGAAACTTACCGCGTCTTCGTCCTGGTTCATGCCCAGGGATGTGCCGACATAGTGAGTCGACATAGTATGGCAGTACGGCAGTTTCTCGAGTGCCAAACCCAAAACAACTCCCGCCTGCCAATCTCATCGTCAGCCCGCAGCCACTGCTAACATAGTCCTGCAGGTTACCTACGTCAAGGGCTACTACAAACTGGACAGGTACGGTTTTTTTTTCTCAGAGACCCATTGGCTGATAAGCCCTGCTAGTGCATCCCAGAACTCCTCCCTGGTCCTCCGCCTCATCCAGTTCACCCCAGCAAGTA